CGTGCCGTGACGTCCAACAGCAGCGGTATCGGCGGCTTGTCTCTGCTTCGGTCCAGTCACCGCTACGCATTTGCCAACATCTCCATGACATCAGTGCTCACACTCAATACGACGCTCAGTGTGCCGATGGCCGGCAGCTTCACTCTCATCCAAGACCTTGTTGGCCCGTTTGGCTCGATCGATATGTTTTTTATTGGAGTCCCACGCGCGCTCAATGGTGATATGCTCGACTTGGTCAACACAATTCGCGCTGCGTCTATGGCGTCGGACGCGTCTCAGCGTGCGTACGCCAACCTCATTGTGCCCGACTCGATGTATGTGACGCCTGGCATCTGGCTCTACTCCAAGTGGATCTCGTTCGGGGGCTCCCCGTTTTGCGCGGACATTGGCCTTTCCACTGGCATCGCCGTCACATCAGGTATGCTCAACCTGCTGTCGTCCAACAAGCCATGCTCGTTGTCACGTGGGCACGCGCGCAGTGGACCGACGATCGAGTTTTGGGTGGTGGCGACCATTATGGCGTCGTTAACGCCAAGCAGCAACGTGACTGGCATATGCGAGCTCAATACAGCGGCAACGAGTCACTGCGTGCCCGACTTGCTCGCGACCGTCGAGTTTGTTCGCACCTATATGCCGTCGATCTCGCATCGGGGGCCCTCGATAGCCGCGTCGACAGCGGCGGTGCAGCAGCTGCACATGCAGCTGATCCAGTTTATGCGCCTCAACGTGTCGTCGCCGCTCTTTCTGGCTTCCTACGAGGTCCTGAAAACGGCCGATGACTTTACGTTTGCCTCGTGGATTCTCTTGATGGAATGGGTCTTTGGCGTGCGCGAAGTCGTCCAACTGGTCGGTGATCACGGCAACCTCACGGTCCTCGGCGAACTGCTCTTACCGGCGCAGCAAAAGGTTCACGAGTACGAGATCCCAACGTCCGGCGCGATGTATGCCCGTGCGGCGGTCCAGTACATCACCGCCGTCGTCATCCTCGTTGCAGGCCTCACGGTCGCCTACATCGTCACGAGCCGCGGACGGATCGAAGGCCGCAACATGTTTTCCCTTGGTAGCGTCGGCGGTGTCGTCTGGATTGGCCGACCATTGCTCTTTCTTCGAAGCATCACGGCCATTGGGATTCTCTCGACGGGAACACTCTCGCTCGAGTTCAACGGCCGCTTCAGCTACCTCCAAGTGTCGGTGACGCCGTGGTACCAGACGCTGATTGAAGCCAACGAGCTCACGTGGCTTGCCGCCGTCGTCAACGATGTTTTCATTGCGTACACACGCGAGTACAACCGGTACTACAATGCAATCAACATCGCGCTCGTCTGGCTCGTCGCGGGATGCGTGAGCTTGCTCCATCCCGCGTACCATGTGGCGTCGATGCAGCGCGCCGTCGACTCGTGCGACATCGTTGAGGTTGACTTTCAGGTCGTGTGCCACAGCGCGCAGATTCAGATTGGACAGTTTTCCCGCCTTTTGCTCTTGATTGGTATCGTGTTTGCTGTCAAGCTCTTTTGCTACGTATCCGTGCGGCTCTATATTGGTGACCCGACACCGGCGCGCGCCAAGTCGATCGTGCTCTACGCCGGCGCCAAGTTTTTGTTTCGCCACAAGACGTGGATATACCACGACGTGTACTACCTCGACCGCGCGTCCGCGCTCCTGAATGGTATGGTCACGCTGCGCTGGCGCGAGACGTTGTATGTTCTCGATATCAAGACGTGGCGCGCCTTTGGCGTCGATATGGATCTCGTACCCGCCAGCGCGGGCAGACATGTGCTGGGCGCGATCCCGCTCCAAAACTCGACCGACCGTAACAGCTCGTTCGCGCCCATCGGTCCCTTGGCCAAGCCGTGAGACGACGTTAGCTCGGATCTTTTGGCCCGTGGCTCGAGGGACCTTACGCTCATCACGAAGCGAGGCGCTGCTGTATCGGGCCGTCCAGGAGCTCAGCGATCGTGCAGTCGCATCTGATACGACATGATGTACATGTTTGAACACTAGACGTATTCGTTGGTATCGATGTCATTACGACAGACTATCGCGGTTGTTGGTTGAAATGCTATTCTTCTCGAGATGTATAAACCAGCGAGGGTGACGCTATATATGGATGAGCCACTCAAGCACTACAGTGGCGTCCACATAGAGTAATGGGCGGGGACACGGCTCGCGGCGGCCACGGGCGTCGGGTGCAGCACAGGCACCCGCTGTCGTCGTCAGCATCTCGTGGACGTCGGCCGTCATTGCGTTTGGCAGGAGACGCAACGCGTCACGAAAGCTACCGCCCGTGCAGTCTCTCTGCACGTACATGTGGGTGGGTGTAGCGGCTCACGCGCCGTCCCAGACGACCTTGATGAACGTGGGATGTGTCCGCACCATGTACGTGGCGTTTCACTCAAAGCTGCGGTGATTTAGCGGCGGGTTGAGAAGCGAGCCATTCACGCAGTCGTCCTACGCACCAGTAGAGGTGGGGGTGGCGATCGAATCCGAGAGAGGAATACTTTGAATGTCATCGCACACAACGAGAGGCCTTCGCCAGCCCGCGAGCAGCGACTGGAGCGTTTGAAGCGACCTTGGCGGCGTGCGTGGTGTCGGGTTGAGGGTACAGTACATCGCACTGATGTCCTAGGTAGCAACGACAAAGTTCAGCTCCATAAGGTGTAGCATATTACCGGGCCGTCCGAGCACTTGACTTCGACACGTGTCGATACCTTGAACTTTAAAACCGACGCACTCCATGCAGGATACAGGGTGCTGCCACCAACCCACAGCCGTTGCATCGCTACCACGTAGCGTAGTTTCGCGCATCCACCGAGATGTGCTCGTCACGCCGTTGTGGTCACGGACCGTGCGTTTGAACCTGCCCTTCGGCTTGTCAGGCTAGCTATATGCGAGGTGGAAGATCGATGTCAACCTGGAGATGTGTTTCACATTCATTCTACACACGCGTGGAGGTGCTTAACACTCTATAACAAGACAGAGATATTGTCATCGGGGGGGGTTGGCGCGTGGGCCATTGCCAACCGACGCTCAACTGTACGCTGGAGTTCGTTGAATGTTGTTGCGGGCACGGTCTCGCCTTGCACGAGCCGTTCAATCGTTTCCACCACATCGGGGTACTCGAGAAGGATCCAGTGCAGTGCCTGTGGACTCTGCGGTGTCAAAAATTCGTGGGCGATCTCGATACTGCGACGTTTCCGTCGCACCTTGGCCGGTGCGAGCACAAGGCCATGAATCGACTCGTCGCGAATGGACTTAAAGCCTTCGACAGCTTGCCAAAAGCAGATCTCGGCCGACTTGCGCCCGAGGAGGCTCGGTGCCAGAGCGGAGGCAGCTCCACCCATCGATGGCCGGGGCAGATCGGGCATGCTCATGCTCGACGGGATCTTGATCGCGTCCCGCCGCAGCGGTGTGGCCGTGAGGTACGTTCCCGGGTACAGCTCTGCGTACGCCGCTTGGATCGCAGACGGCAGTGGCTTGGCCGTAAAGGCAGCCCACACTTTCGACTTGTCGTCTTTGGTCATGGTCTCCTGCAGCAACGTCTCGGCGGGTACGGACGGGAAGAGCGACGTCGGTGCCAACGTCGGTGACAGCAGCTGCGATCCGCAGAGAACAACGTTGGAGAGCGTCGGGGGTGCTGCCTCCACCACGGGGACGCTGTTGAACGGTCGGTGCTCCCGCAGCGTCTTGACAGTGTACTTTGGCGGATCTATGGACAGCGGTGCGCGCCCCGGGTCGTTCTCGGGGTTGTATAAAAGTTCGATGCGGGCCAAGTGCGTTCGGTGTTCGTCGGCATCGCCGTTGTCCTTGCCATCCTCGTTGTTGTTGTCGTCGTTGTTGTTG